CTACTTCCATAGTGATACCGCCTCGGAAACCCAAGGAGGGGTTGCTATGAGTCGGGGCCAACTTGACAGCACATAACAACAACAACAACATATGGTTTTGGAAGATATTCTCCCAGTCAGTAGCTTGTCTTTACTTTTTTGATAAAATCTTTCGATGAACAAAAGTTTTTAATCTTTATGAGGTCCTATTTATTTACTTTGTCTTTTGCTGTTTGTGCTTTTGTTACTGTATTAGATAACCCATTGTTAAAAGTTAGGCCCAACAGCATTTCCCCTCCATTTTCTTCTAAGAAGTTTTGATTTTGGTTTTCACATTTAGGTCCTTAATCCATTTTGAGTTTTTGTGTATGGTGTGAGGTATGGATCCTGTTTCATTTTTCTGCATGTGGAAATCGAGTTTTCCCAACACCATTTATTAAAGAGAAACATTATTATTACTAATATTAATAGTTGTAATAATGCCTCAGGGTTAAAGAGCATCGGAAAGCATCTCCCTTGTTTCCAGTTTCAACCAGTTTCCTCTCCATTGACCTCACCTGGATAAACTACATTTGTTGTAGTCTTGAGGCCTTACATGTGTGGTTCCCTCAGCCTGGACTGCTCTTCCCCTAGACTGGCTGGTTCTTTGTCTTTCTTCAGCTCTCAGCGCACATGTCCACTGCTCAGATAGGGCCTTCCAGCTCCACCACTCCGAAGCAGCCACCCCTCCCCGTTCTTTCCGACCACCTTGTTTTTATCACTTGATGGCACACGTTATGTAGGAAACTATCCTGTCGCCTCATCACCTGCTTGTTTCTTGTGTCTCTCGCCCAGTAAGGTGAGCTCTCTAAGGTAGGGATGGCCTCAACTTGTTCTCCAACTCTATCCCCAGTGTCCAGTGAAGGGTCGGCACACAGACAGTACTCAATAAAGGCTGTGGGTGGCTGGGGAGGGAAAGAGGAAGAGCGAGCAGTAGACAGAGGAGGGGGAGACTAGGATGATGTGTGGGAAGGCTTAGAAATCTAACAGTGGGAGGCTGCATCTCTGAATGTGAGTTCCCCTGTGCCATCCAACAGGCACCTGGTCAGGCCCCTTCTCCTCTCTGGCCCTAAATTTAATCAGTACAAAGGTTAGACAGAACAATTTTCAAGGAGTGGACCCATCTCTGGCCAGCTTGGCCTGGAAGGTCGAATCACAGACAGGACAGCCCAGCCCGTTGCTAGCTCGGCCTCAGTGGGGAGCGTGCGCACCGCAGCTTTGGCACTAAATAATCATAACACGATTGGGCCGCTAACGGAGATTTATGGAGCCCTTTCCCGGCCATGAGCTCCGTGTGCTTCCGCGAATATGAAGCCATTTATCTAAAGACAAGTTCCCTTAATCCGCGGAAAGATGGTCTCCTCGGAGAAAATGGTTTCTCCAATCCCCACAGCCTAAGAGCTTGCTGTCGGTATCTAAATTAATGGAGAGAGAGATTATGTTTTTCAGGAGCGGCTGAGATGTGGTTGGCTGCTTTGCAGTCTGCAGACATTTTGTGGGTGAAGCGGAGACAGGCGGAACCACAAAATGGGGGCAGAGGAGTGTGGGCCTGACTTTCTCCCTTTGTGACTGGGAGGGCACACCCCCTGCCTGCACCAGGTTTTCCAGGGAGGTGCTTGGAGGACATTGTCTCCAAGGCCAGACAGATCTGAGCCTGAGTATCAGCTCATCCCTGCCTTGCTGTGTGACCTGGGGCAAGTGGCTTCACCTCTCTGAGCCTCAGTTTCTTTCTCTGTGAGATGGGCTGCTGGTACGTAAGATGTACATGGCCTGGCACACAGTTGGTGCCCAATAATTATTATGTCAGACTCTCCACTCAGCTTCACTCATAAAGGGAATACAATCCCAGATTTCAAATTTTCAGCTCTCAAAAGGCTTTTCATGATCTAGTTCCACTACCCATTTTACAGAAGGAGAGACTGAGTCCCAGAGAGGGCTGAGTCCTTGCTGGTGCCCACTGGTCTATTTGAAGGTGCTGGAAGATTCTTAGTGTGCTGGGGCTCTATGTCTACCCCGGGAGAGGGAGAGAAACCATTGTTAGCAGCATAGCAGCAAATCATGGCCAAGGTGAAGAAGGTCCTGATATTAATTGGTGACCTATTACTAACTTAGGCAATAATTGTCAAACTCCCTCTTTGCTCAGAGAGGCACATCATCGTCCTCATCGATCCCCCAGGGTCCCAGGGTCCCAGGCCCAGCCTGAGCCCCACTTCTGTCTTCTCCTCAGATGACCTGGTTCCACATGGACTGTCAGGACCTGATGACCCAGCTCAGGCTGGGCAAAGCCCAAGGAGCCAGCCCTGGGGACCAGCACCGCCTCCACCGCTACTTGCAGCGGCTGGCCTCTGAGTTCACTGCTGAGAAGCTCATGGCCGTGGGGCTGCAGGTAGCCTCCCTGAGCTGGGCAGGCCTGGGCCAGGACCTGTGGGAGGAGGCCCGCGGCCGGCACGAGGAGGTCCAGATCCTCCTGAAGAAGGCGTTGGCCTGCTGTCCTCACCCAGCAGCCCCCTCTGCCCACGTGGCACACCTCGGAGTGGCAGCTTCCATGGTCCAGGGTCTGAATGGCATCTCTTCCAGAGGAAGGCAGGACCCATCCCTGCAGGACTCACCAGGTGTGGAGCACCTGCCCAAATCCTGTTGGCCTTCTCGGGCCACCAGAGCAGGGCAGAACAGAAATTTCCGGCTAAGCCCTCTGCCCCAGGAAGCTGGCCAGGCTGTGGAGGCTGATGAAGGCAAAGGCCCTCGTGAGCCCCTGGATCCTGCCCCTGAGCTTTCCCCCACCACCTTCTTCTCCTGGCAGCGCCCCCCCCAGGCAGCTCTGCTTGGGCCCTCCCGGCCAGGTCCCCTGCCTGGCTGGGGGCAGCTTCTCTTCAGAGAGAACAGACTCACAGGCATCTCTGGAGGACTCCCCCCAGACTAGTCCCCCTTCGTCCCTCTAGCTGGGAGGCCCCAGGAATTGTGTGAGGCTCCAGAGGGAAGCTGGGGAGCTCTGGCCAGTGCCATCAGGGTATGGCTGTTGAGCACTGACTGTATGTTTGGTCCACACTGGGAGGATGAGAAGAGAACTGTGCACCTGCTCCCAGCTCCAGGAAACATCAAGAAGACTCGATTCTCACACATTCAGAACAGTGTGGGGGGATCAGGACCAGGATGCAATAAAGCATGAGTTTGGCTCTGTAACTCCGGGGGTCATTGTGGAATGAGGAGGTGGTACAGACCTTCCAAAGGTCTCATTCTTAGCAAGCTAGATACCCACCTGGCGGTGACCACAAGCTTTTCCTCTGGAAGAGGAGTATGGTTGCCCTCAAAATGAATCCATGGGAGTGGAGGGCAGATTTGGGGGTGGCTTCTTGTCTTAGAGTTCCCATGGTAGCAGGACTCAAGCATAAGTGTATTTGGTATGATGTTCCTTTCCCTAGGGCTGTGTAACAAAGTACCAGCAATGGGTGGCTTACAAGAAGAAAAAATTAATGTCTCATGGTTCTGGAGGCTCTTAATCCAAATTTCAGGTGCCAGTGGGGACATGCGCTCTCTGTAGGTTCTAGGGCAGGACACTCTCTTGTCTCTCTCAGCTTCTGGTAGCCCTGGGGATCCTTACAAGCCAACTTGTAGCTGCAGCACAACCCTATTGTCACACGGCCATCTTCCTTCTGCTGATCTCGTCTCTTCTCTTTTATAGCCCACGACTCAGATTAGACTAGGACCCGCTCTTTCAGTATGACCTCAGGGTAACTGGTAATATCCTCAAAGACCCCATTTCCAAACAAGGCTATTTCCTGGGCACCAGGACTTCAGCATAAATTTTGGGAGGACACAGTTCAACCCCTAACAGGTGGTGGTCCCAGGGACCTCTGGTGGGGGAGTAGGGGAGTGAGTGTGGAAAGACACAGCAGCCGGTAAAGGGTGTGTTATCCAGCAGGCTACTGCTGTGGACAGCTGGAGCTCAATCCCACTGGGGACCGCTGGGAGACAGAGTACAACATACCTCAGTTATTCTACCCAAGGGGTAAGAGAGCTGGGGTGTTTATCCACCAACTCCCCTGAGTTGTTGGTTGGGGGCTACTTCCAGGTAGAATGAACTCCCCAGCATGCTGGACTCCAGGCAAAATGGGCTCCCCTGACCACAGAAAGGCCTCAGCAGAGATGTACCTGCTGGTTAGAGTGAGCTGCAAGGGTCTGGGCAGGCGCTGGCTGCATCTGCTCCTCTTTATTCACTTTATTTGGTTCTCCCGTGGATGCAGGGCCGTCATGCCCAAGGTCAAGGAACTGCACAGACTCGTATACTTCCATCGAGGAGAGAAACATCTCCCCCTCCAGTATCTTCTGTCTTGTTCCCCTTCCCACCATGCCTTCTCCTTCTTTCATTCCCCACCCAAGCCCCCAGCTTTCTTCAGGCACAGCCTTGAGCCCCATGTCAGCAGGGTTCTGCTGATGGTTGGACTGGGAGAGGGTAGGGAGCCATGTCATCATGCAGCGGAAGGTGGGGAACAGTGGGGAGGGGTCTTTATACCCTCTGATCTCAGGATGGGGTATCTAGAAGATAGCCACACCTTTCACACCGCCCAGACCGACCCCTGCGAACGCATTCCCTGAACATCATTATGGGCCTCCTTCTCTGCCTTAGGATGCATTACCCAGCTCGCCTTCAGGTAACCCAGCCCCAGAAATTTCCTGGCTCTGGGAAGATGCAGGGGGTACATGTTCTGCCGCACATGAGGTGTGGAAGGGGGAGGCAGGCCTGGAGCAGGCCTAGGGGGACAATAGGACTTCTCAGGGGTTACCACGGCAAAGAGAGTGTGGCACAAACCTCAATGCCCAAAAGGCCTTAAGGAATTTTCTAAGACTCAGGATTCCTCTAGGTGTGCCTAGGGCCCGCCTGTCTCAGAACCACCAGCAGAGCTGGCCAAAAGGCTTCCTGGGGAGCGCGACCCCAGACAATTAGAGTCAGACTCAGAATCTTGGTGCTGTGTGTGTGGTGGTGGAGGGGGCTCTTGTCCGGAAGCTATGTTTGTAACAGACTATGCAGATGTTTCCTCATGCAACTCAGCAAGTGGGGGTGCTGTTGGGAAACATGGGGGTGGGGGGTTGAGACTGCCTCCCACCCAAGGCAGCTCAGCTTTCTGTGCCCCACTCCCCCACCTTTGGTGCAGATCAGCCAGAGAATGCAGGAGGTGTTTGATCAGCCCTTCTCCATCCATGCCTGTCACCTCAGAGGGGGGCCGAAGGCACTTAAGATGCTGTTGCCATGGCAACAGCATCCAGCCAGTGGGGGCCAGAGGCAGGGAGCCAGGGAATCTAGGGTACAAGGATAGATACTGACTTCTGAGAGACCACAGCTACTATTGGGGGGGAGGGAGGTTGAGGAGGGGGACGAGGTGGTCCAAGAATCCTTGTGTGGGAGGGGTCCCCAAGGTCACCTTTTGTATCCCTCTGTGTTCAGAAAGAACTATACCTCTAGCAACATGTCTACTTACAGCAAGCCCTGGGGAAAATGGGGATGCAGAAATGAAATACAATAAAAATAATACAATGTATAATAATAGTATTGATAGCTAGCGTTTCTTTTGGCTTTTCTTGGTGCCTGGCTCTGTGCTAGGCCCTTTGCAAGGGTTTACAGGGCTCATTGAATTTTTCACAATAGCTCTATGAAGCCAGTACTGATTTCATCCTGTTTTACTGAGGAGGAAGCTGAGACTCAGAGAGGTTCGGTGCCTTACACAGTGTCACCAGTAGGTGGCAGGGCCTGGACTGATGCTGGCCCTCAGCAAACCTGGGCTGATTGCTGGGCCGGCAGTGGCAATGCGCTTTGTCCCCTCAGCAGTCCTGCCACGTGTGGCCATTGGCATGTGCCAAGGATCCTGGCCTGGGCTTGTCTTGACCATGCAGAACTAAAACCCTGGACTGCCACACTGCCTGGATGGAAAAGAGCCTGAAGTCGGCAATTGCCTCAAACAGAGGGAGACGTCTGGGCCGGCTGGGCTGTGAGCATGCTGGGCTTGCTCAGGCTGTTCCCTGGGCTGTTCCTGGGGGCCTTCAGGGGCTGCTGGGCAGTACTACAAGCACTGGGTGTCTTGTAGTGCCAGAGACTGTGGTGGCAGAGTGATTGGTCACATGGGAGCTACAGCTGAACTGACTGGGTTCTCACTGTACTCCACCAGTTACAAGCTGTGAGACCCAGTTATATTCATTATCTCACTGTGCCTCAGTTTCCTCACCTATAAAGTGAGGCTAACAGGATCTCAGAGGCTGGCTGCAAGTATGAAATGAGTTAGTATGTGGAGAGCCCGTAGGAAGATGCCTGGGACATACTAAGTGCTCATTAAAGGCTGTTTGGCACCAGCCCTGTTAGTACCTGCTTCATCACTTGATGAACCAAGGAAGAAATTTCTCCAGAGGCCACAAGTAAACTCCCTAATTGATTCTCAAAGAGATTTTCACTCTCTTTTAAGGCTCTTGTGGATTTTCTGGAACCCCAGTTGCTTCTTAAAAGCCAAAGGGAATTAATTTATTGTCTTTTGCCAAAACTTCCCATGGGAGGAGGGACTTAGCATGACCTCCCCCAGAAGAGTCCTCACCAGGGATGACATCTCCATGAACCAGCAAAGCCAAAGCCCCCAGGAGGCTACTTTGGGGAGGTGAAGGCTACAGTGTCCCTTCATAGGATTTTTCACAATTTACAGTTCATTCTGGTGGAAAAAAGATAATGCTTACAGGGAACCCCAAGTCTGCCAGTAACATCAACTGTGAGTCTCCCACTGTGGTGGAAACCCTTTTTTCAACTCCAAGGGGTTGGTGGGCAAGAGGTGGTAGGAGGAGCATGCCCTGGGGGTCAGAGATCTTATATGCCACTCCTGGCCTTTGCTGACACCCTGAGTGACCCCTGGCAGGTTGCTTCCCCTCTCTGGCCCGCAGTTTACCCCATCTGCTCAGTGGGAACATAGGATGGATAGGGTATTTTTCATCTTTGGAATCAGAGCCCTGCCTTCGAACACAGGCTTAACCTGGACACTACAAGCATATGGCTGGCCCTCAGTTTCTTCATCTGTCCAATGGGTTTGTAAACCTGCTGGGCCAAGACAGTAAGATATCTGGATCCCTGAGCTCCACAAAAGATTGGGCAATCTACTTCCGTAGAGATACCTCCTTGGAAACCCAAGGAGAGGTCACTGTGAGTCGGATCTGACTCAATGGCAGTGAGTTTGGTTTGGTTTCAAGGCTCCACAACAGACCTTTGTCCTCTCCAGAGGAGTGGTCGTCTGGTGAAGGGGCAAAACCTTGAAAGTCAACTAGGCAGTGATGTGGGGCAGAGGTGGGCTGAGCCCAAACTGGCATCTAGACACTTGACAGTTTGCAGAGTGAGTACTTCTTGTTCATCCATTTCCTCATCTGACACTCACTACAACTCTGAGGGGCACAGACATCATGCCCTCTAATGTCCCTATTTTATAGATGAGTAGACAGGCCTGGAGAGGGAGGTGGCATGTCCAAGACCATGCAGCCAAAAAAGGGGTTGAGGAGGAGAAACCCCAGGATCTGGCCCTGGTTCTGAGCAATGCCAAATCCAGGGCAGCGGATGGACCTCTGTCTTGTCAATCACTCAGACCTGGCCAGCCTATATCCTGTGCTCTCTAGTGACTCAGGAAGCTAGCTGGGGTCAGGGTATAGTCTGCCCTCATGAAACAGACTTATTCTGTTCTCTGGGGCCTGTGAACCGGCTTCCCGCCCAGGACAAACCCATCTGGCTCGAAACCCCACCCTCCTGGCTGAAAAATAGTTCTCTGAGGCCCAAGCCCTGGGGAGTCAGTGCTCTGGCTGGATGACAGCACTCCTGGGGTCCTGTCCCCCACTGCCTGGGGTGAGATGGAGGGCCTGAGTACTTCCTCAGAACCCTGTGCTTCCTCACTTTTCTCATCTGTGTATTGGGGTGACTGAGCCAGAT